TGCAGCTTGTAGAGGTGCAGATTCTTGATGGCTTTGGTGGCAGCCTTGCGGTCGTCCATGTGGACGAAGGCAAAGTTTTTGATGATGGCACATTCTGTGACAGTGCCATACTCGGTAAAGAGTGCCTTGATTTCATCCTCGTTTGTCGCTCTGGGCAGATTTCCCACGAAAATCTTCACCATGATTACAAATCTGTTTCGAGGTAATGCAGAGTGTTAAGAGAGGAAAAAAAAAACAGACAGTTACAATTTTTTTAGTACATACTATTGAAGAGTACGTTTGACCCTTCCTCTGAGTCTATAAAAACAGCAGCGTTGTTAACAGGCCCGCGCATAGTAAAAACCTAGAAGTCGTTCACGGCGGCACAAGTACCAACAATTTAATCATTTTAAATCATTATTATCAGTAAATCGTTTCTTTCATATCTGTATATGTCTACAAAAAGAACAAATGAGCAGAGTTTAAACGCTGCTCGTGTAGCCTGTTAGCCCCGGTTAGCCACGCTAACAGACAAAGCAGCGCAGTCGATGTTCTCGCGCAACGAGGCTAGCGGGCGAACAAAGCTACCGACGTTAACAAGGTACTCCACACATACCTATGCGCCAAACAAGTACATTTATATAAAGACGTAAATTTAATTTTCTATTTGCATTACCTTTTAGTCGGCGCTCACAAAAAGGAATTGAAGTCCCCTTCGAGAGGTTTCCTTTTGCTAATTTCCGGTTGTGTCTTGCCTGTGGCTGCCAGCTGCACCGCCCCCCTCCGCCCGGGCGTGCGCAGTAATCTAAAGTCTTCGGGTAAAACAACAATTTTACAACTTTACAACTTTTATCCGCATTAAATGTTTTACATTATACACCCAGTAGTCTATAATATATCTATTTTTCTACTTTACATGTCTAATAAAAATAATAACAATATAAAAAAAACTAGCTATAGCACTGTGCTTTGTTATAAATACCCTACATTATCTTACGGTACACTTTTGTCCATGTTTTGTAAGTCACCCCGTTTCTTATTTATTAACCAGTAACATTTCACAACTACATTTATATGGTGAAGAAAAGAGAGTTAAGTACGTTTTAGACGTACTTGGTTAATGTGTAACGGTCTATTTTACGAGGTTGCTTCTTCCCGTTATAGTTGTAAATACCGCAGGATGGGAAGATGGGAAGCAGTGTCTTTAGTTGAGTCTGTTTACAGTAACTAATTGTGACACTTCTGATAACATTATTATTATTTTTCACTAACCCCAGCCACCCCAGTAATGAAAAGCGACTTTTCATTCTGAAATAAGTAGCTAAATTTTGACATACATAAAATTACATTCCTTAACAGATTACCCAGTTATACTGCGTTTAAAGAAACAGATCTCATTTTGTATTTTAAAACATTGTTGCTTCTGAAAAACCCCTATAAGTAATTTGTTAAGACTGCCGAGATATGCAAAACATAAAAATTATCACTAGTTAATCAATCCTCTTGTAAAAATTCTTTTTTTTTATTCATTTACATTTACTTTTTTTATTTTATTTTTTTTACAAAACATCATTAATGTCCTCTGTTTCACATCTAATTGTTTCTTCTGTATGTTTGCATGTCTGTATTTTATTTCTCTGCTTTGTTTACATAAAAAGTATTGTAAATAATCATAATACACGGTCCAAATTAAGTTTTAAAAGCGTTTCTGTCTACTCCGGTTGCGTCATCCTGGAATTTTCAGTGTTGTAATGCTGCATTCAGGTGCTCGCGTTAAAAATCGCACAGTACAGCAAACCAGCGGAAAATAATTTAAATTGTAACAAAGACTCCAGTGAATTATGTTGAATTAGTATTTTTCTTATTAGCATTTTATTTCATTTTCTTTAATTTCACGTGGCAAACTGTTTGCATTGACTTCGCAATCAAACATACATAAATATTTCA